TTCTTCAATAGTCGTAGTTATGATTAACTTGTGGCTTGGAGCATTATCTACTATAAGAAGAATGTTTCTGTTTTCTCTTGTTAGTGTTTTTTCCCATTTGAGTAGCAATCGATGAAACAGCTCTATGTTCATCCAAACATTAGTTTGAAAGTCGTATGATTATTTAACGTTGGTGTAATTTCCATCAGTAAACCACCTTGGATTATGATATTTTCCAACAACCAAAAGAATTTTTCTCTTTCTCCACTCAGTGAACAGCATATCATAATTGTAATTCTTTCTTTTTTTTCTCCTTGCCTCCATGGTTATCAGAACCAATTGACAGTGTTTTGGAAGGTAACAGCTTATAGAAAAGACCTGTTTCATCCGCATTTTCCACATTACCAGGGACATACTGTGCAATACTTTCAACCATCTTATCACTTGCCTTTTTGTGTTTATCTGCGTCAACTGAATTGTTATCTCCACACAATTTCTTTGATTTAAGTTGATTTCTTGAACAAAACGACGAAATCCAACCGTTTGAAAGCATCATATCATCATATCCCTTTTCGAAGCAGTATTTAGAAGCTGGGTTCTTGACAACATTGTAGCAAACTGAGGTATTGTATGACCTCATAGTTTCTATCATCTTGAGTGTGTTCTCTTTCAAGTCTGGGTGTTTAACTTTTCTGAAAACTTTGGCATTCCCTGGTATTGATGGCTCAATCAAATTTCCCTTGATATCATTCTTTAACAACATCCTCAGAGACTCGCGTTTTGGACATTTTTGTAAATTTTGGTTTATTATTTCTCTCATTTTTTCAATGACTGTTTCGGGAAAACATTAGCCCACTGTAAAATTTGCTTTTTTTTCATCAATTGATAAAATTGTTTTTGGTTTTGGTAAAGACATGAATAAGTTATAAGATTAAATGTTTTTTAATGACATTTGTGAGTGTAATGAAACATTGTTTAAAATTATTTTAAGGTTAACATGTGATAATTTTTTCCTTTTTTAATTATTTTTTTTCTTGTTATTATTTTACATTTTACATTTAAAATGTTTTTTTTTCTTAAAAAATTGAGTAGAAAATAAAACGCCCGCTCTTGAGAGAACTAAATTTACTATACCCACCCGCTTTGGGAGGTTTTACTGTATATTAATAATTTTATTATTAACAATTATTTTTTAGTTTTTTATAACATGATAATTTGGCTGGTCGTGAATAATTGTTATTGAACAATAAATGTTATTTTTTAATTATCATTTATTATTAAATTATTGTTAATTATTAATTTTATTTGGTTTTTAATTTGAATGTGATGTTTATAAACTGTTTTATTCGATATATAATTAAAAAGTTACAATTGATATAAAAATTGATGGTTCGTTTAGAATCGTTTTATTTAATGAATGTTATACTTTATCTTCCACTTTCTGACCTTCCAAATTTCTATAAAATATCTTGTGCAACCATGGTTTCTTGTTATTCTATGAAGACGAATCCATGGTCATCCAATGATTGTGTGTGTCTTCAAAAATCATTAAATATTATAATTGAATATCTTCCGAACATCGAAACACTTACAATACCCAAAGCAATTGAATATAATAACCATTTGTATTTGAACACTATCCATTATTTTAAAAAATTGTCAATAATCAACAACACAGAAAGCATTTTTGATCCACAAACTAAAATCAATTGCCTCTTTAGTTACATGAAATCTTTCAATTCCCAACAAAACTATTTGGAAAGAAAAATGATGTTTTTGGATTTATTTGAACATCAAACATGTTTGTTTGTTGAGAAAATAATTTTGTCACAAGATTTTCTAGTTTTTTGCAAAGAAACTGTTAAATGGGAAGAATTTCCCAAATTAAAAATTGTCGAAACCGAAATCCAAATAAGAGAGCATATCAATACTTTTCTCCAAAAAATCGCGAAATTAAAAATTCCAAATGATGTACACAAAGTAGTAAGTCTTCCATTCGTTTACGACTTTTATGAACAACGAGAAAAAACGAACTTTTTTGAAACAATGTTTAGTTTCACAAACAAAAATTACAGCTTTTTTGTTGGTGGTTCTGTTGGGAAATTTGTGGTGAATAAAAAGTTCAAATTTGACTTTCATAATTTGACAAACGAAAACGACAAATTGTTGTATCAAAAATTGTATTTACCAACAAAACTTGAATTTCGACAACCTGGAAATTACACAATTTTTAGAGACTTATTAACTGCGGACATTTTGTGTCCAAATGTTGTTCTTCCAAAAACAATCGAAAATATTTCTTTATTAAATCCAAATGCATCAATTTCAAATTTAAATGATTTGAAGAACCTTTCAACAATAAAAACCATTCAAGAAGCAAAAGTACCAACATTTTATTACGACAAAATTGTGTTTAAAAACGTCAATATAAATTTCCAAAGATTACTACTTCCACTGTGTTTGTGTATTTATTTTTTGCTTCATATTGGAATATCTTGTTTCCTTTTTAAAAGTACAATTTTTAATAGTATTATATCATTCAAATATGATTTTGTGGTGTTATTCAATGTATTAATATTAATCTTACTTGCTTTTGTTTTGTTTAAATATCACAACAAAACAACTTATTTTATTACTATAGTTCTTGCCGTTTTTTGTACATGTTTTGCATATGGAGCATGGAATATGACAAACATTTACATAATTATATTAGTTTTGTTTTCCTTGTTCTACACTTCTATAGAGATAAATGTGTTATTTCACCATGGAAATTACTCTTTTTCGGAGGCAATTTATTTTTACACCAAGTCAAAATCTTTGAGTTGGATTTTAAAACTTTGGGAAATGGATTCGGGGTCTGGAAAAAAAGGAAAGTATTGGTTGACTTTGTTGTCAATCACTTTTTTATTGTTTC